CCGTGGTTTCGTTCCATTTCACAGAGCTTGACGCTCGGCGTAACCTTGGCGCACTGCCACTCCAACATCCAATCCCAGAGCTTGAAGATTAATCAAGGGGTTTGTCAACGGGACTGTAGTCCCAAACGATAGCTGGGGATTATGGGTAGTGTAGTGTCTTCGGCCATCCTAAACTCCACATCCCACCACATCCCAAGCATTGCGGCTAAAACATCCATTCAGCGAACATGAAAACATTCCCAGTTAAACATGCACAAACAAATCGCTAAATAAAAAGATAAATAACTGGCATGTAATTTACGTTAGAATAAATAGAATGGTTTTGAATAATAGATGAGAGTAAAATCTACGTCACTTTACAGCCCCGCCCACTTTTGGGGAAACCAACGCTGTAATTTGAACGGCGATCAAGCCTGAACGCACAGAGATCTTAGACCTCCGCCGGCTGCGATCGGCTATTCTCGTCTACTTTCAAGGCGAGCCGCAACGCGTCTCAAACAAGATCTTCTGTTACTGTCCTTTCTTCTTAGAGGAAGTACAGAAACACGTAACTCTGGATTTGTTTTAATGTTTGAGGTGCAATAAACGACACAGCAGCTTTTTGGCATGTTAAAACTATTATGTTCTGCCTCGCTCATGAGAGTAACAGCTGGAGAAATTACAGCCTCGCCTACTGATTTTAATTTAACCATATATCGAGCCCGATTCTCGATTTCAAATGTGTGCTCTAAAATGATATTTATAAATGACTATTATCATTATTATAAGCAAGGCAATAAATGGCAAAGATATGTAGAATATAAACGTATTTAAGATACGTTCATAACGAACGTAATGTGGGAGAAAATAAGTTTCCAGCTAAACGTAATTGAGAATGCAGTTTAGTTCTGTGGGAACGTAATTTTTAGGAGACAGGGTTGGACATGGTTACATGTGTCATGGTGATCTCTTGCTTGCTTTCACTCACTTTTAGTTGACTCTGGCCTGTGACTTTTGTCTTCCTGCTTCTCTTTGAGGAATTCTTCCTCCTCTTCCTCCTCTTTCTGCGCCTCCTCCTCTTCTGCTGGGTCACTTTCTGTGGCGGGCTGGTTCCTCCTCTTGGGAGCAGACTGGTTCTCCTCAGCCTCCTCCAGCTTCCTTTTCTTTACAAGCGGGCATCCCAGTATGCTGAGGAGAGCAGGATGGCATGTAACTCAATGCTAACACTGAACGTGCTTTCATCATCAGAACCAACAGCTTCTCCTTGTTCAGGCCTTTACGTTTAAGGTGAACACTGTACAAGCTTTTTGTGATCAATGACTTGTCATGCTTTTTTCTTCTAGCTCTAGTGTCTGACTAGCTGTGTGCAGAAGCTGTGATGAAACACGGAATGGACCCTACCTCCTATGTCGAGAGTATCTTTCACTGACGTGGCCTTTGCCATCACATCCAGGGGTAGGACAGCTGCTGCTGACACAGAGCAAACACACACGTCATACAGGACACATTTCATATCATGATATTCTTCTGTTAAAGTGTTGAATACTAACCTTAACTCTTGCTTCATCTCTTGGCTCACGAGTTCTGACGACACTGAGAGCAGAGCAGCCGGAGTCACAAAAAGCAGAAACAGTCATATGAAAGCTAAAAGACTGAGAAGGTGATGATGCTTTTATTTTGTTAAATGAACTGTATACTATGTAAATATACTATGTATGTACTGTGTACTGTCTTCCAGTACAAGTACATTTACTCAAATACACTACTTAAGTGTCATTTTGAGATACTGGTGCTTTACCAAAGTATTTTAATGTTGTGCTACTTTGTTCTTCTACTTCACTACAGTTCAGAGGTAAATGGTGTACTTTTACTCCCCTACATGTATGTAATACCTTTAGTTACTTTACAGATGTGGATGAATGATGTGAAATCTGATCAAGTGTTAAATCAGACTTTAGTTCCACCTGGAGTAAATTCACAAGCTACCCTGCAGTATACAAAGTCATTCAAACTAGCGGCACCTTTACCAGCTTTGAGAACACTTTCATGATCAATCATTATAAAACATATCATATATATTATTCTGAAATGGACCAATCTGCACAATGACTACTTTTACTGTCGATACTTTCACTATATTTTGATGATGACACTTTTCTACTTTTACTTCAGTAACAATTTGAATGCAGGACTTTTACTGTAACAGAGTATTCCTACACAATCAAATTACTTTTCCTCCTCTGTCTACATGAACAAGTTAGCATTCACACACAGGCAGAGGAAGTTAATTTGACACACAGCAAAACCTGAGGCAACACTGCAGCTCCCTAACCTGGTAAACATCAGTATCACTTTACATCCAGTGTGTGTGTGTGTGTGTGTGTGTGTGTGTGTGTGTGTGTGTGTGTGTGTGTGTGTGTGTGTGTGTGTGTGT